TCAAAATGAAACATCCTGCCTTAAATAAATAATCACAGAAGGTGAAAATTACAAGATTAAGTTTAGAATTATATGGTGTATCTATACAGATGTAGATAAATGGCAAAAAAAAAAGCAATTTAAAATGTACACAATTACCACTTTCACAGAGAAACAGAAAAAAATGCAAGCTGATTAAGATCTAACATTAATAGAAAAACTACTCTGTTCACCTCCATACATTTCTTATCTACTATATGTAAAAGAAATCTCATTTTAAAAATACCTAGAGTACACATTTAACCAAAATATTCCCTCAGAACCTCCCTTTTTCAAATCATATCCTTCATTGTGCCTCCCCCAAAGCCAGCTATTATCTCTCTGTGTAATTCTCCAATAAACATTAATTTTAATACTTTTAAGTAAGTGTGGAAGGTAGACTCCAACATGGCCCCCAATGATTTCTACCTCCTGGTATTTGCACCCTGTAAGGTACCCTCCTGCTATGTACCAGGACAAAAGAAATGGACTACGGCTCTTCTAAGATTGGGTTATAACATATGTGGCTTCCAGCTTAGGCGCTCACTCTCTCCTATCACTCATTCTGGGAGAAGCCAGCTACCATGTTGAGAACACTTAGGCAGCCATGTAGAGAGGCCCACATGGCAAGAAACAAGACTTCCAGCCAACAACCATGTGAGTGAGCCTTCTTGAAAATGAACCCTCCAGCCCCAGGCTAGATCTCAGCTGATGCAGCCCCAGCTAAAAGCTTGATTCAAACAACTCTGTGAAATACCCTGAGTCAGAAACATCCTATTAAGCCTGTACAAGATTCCTAATCCCCAGAAACTGAAATAAAACATGTTTGTTTTAAGCCACTATGTTTTAGGGTAATTTGTTATACAGCAATGTATAACTAATACAATAAGCATTGCCTATTCTTCAAAAACCAAACTCATGTTTTAAAAGTAAAAAAAAAAATTATAAATAGAAATAGTAATTGCAAAAATTGGGAGAAAAATTTGTTTTTAAAATCTTGGCTAAAATTGAAAGGCAACTGTAATGTCAATTTGCCAGTTCTACTTAAAAAAAAAATGAGCCAACAAAGTACTATCAGGAAAATATGGACTGTTTGTGGAAGAACAGAGATCAGGTTGAGTAGGTACACTGGGAACACAACATCAACTTTTTTAAAATTGGGAAGGAAATCACTTTGTAATTTAAAAATCACAATATCCTATTTAACTACAATAAGACATCCCACAAAGCTTGCCTTATCTATTTAGAATCTTGTCACAGCTTTACCTTGTCACAGACCATATCACATGCCTACTTTGATAAACACATAAGAAAGATAAGGGCAAATGTACCAAATTTCAACTAGATTTCACAGGCATATCAAAGCATAGATTTTTTTCCTGTGATGTTTCCACACCAAATCCAAAACACTTCTTTCACTCATACAAGCACACTTTCCAAGAATACGTAAGATTTCCTATAATACGAAACAGTCCTTTTAACATAACTTATTTAATGTGAAAATGCATTTAGTACCCATATATTTAGTACATGAGTTGGGTATTTAAAAATATCCAAAAAGCAACAATAAAAGAAAAACATTGGAGCTTTTCATTTATCTGATTGGGGGAAAAATGATTTCAGTGATCTCCATAGGAACTGTATGTACTGATATTGAACACAACAAGGAACATGAAGACTGTACTAAAAGTTAAAGCAGCAGCATCAATAAGTATCTTTTGAGTCAACGGGCAATAATTTAGTCATCAATACTGGCAAAAATAGTTGATTTAAACTCTCAAGTTCTTTAGCTTATGAATAGGAGATAAGCATTTGACTACCACATTGTTTCCTACTATATTTTCGCCAGTTTATCTTGAATAAAGAAGACAAATTACTAACTTCTCTCTCATATAACTTACACACTTATTAAGTTTAATTGATGCTAACTGATCTCCACTGACTGAAGTTAATAGGTCCTTTCCAAAATATTTAAAACCATGTCAAGGGGCGCCTGGGTGGTTCAGTCAGTGAAGCGTATGCCTTCAGCTCAGGTCATTATCCCAGGGTCCTGGGATAGAGCCCCGCACTGGGCTCCCTGCTCAGCGGGGAGCCTGCTTCTCCCTCTCCCACTCCCCCTGCTTGTGTTCCCTCTCTTGCTGTGTCTCTCTCTGTCAAATAAATAAATAAAATCTAAAAAAAAAAAAAAAAAAAGTCAAATTTAAAATTATCTTCAGTGGAAAATGCAGCCTCTCTACTGCAATACTCCTGCCATGTGCTAAAACAATAAGGTATGAGGTAAAATTTATCCAGTTGTATCACAGGATGTGCTTTTCAAGAACTGTCATAAAATTATATTAATAGGGCCCTGCAAACTTGTAACAATGTTAATGCAGAAGAATTTCCAAGAAATTACTTAGACAAGGCCTAATGTATGTTCAAATAGTGTTGTCCATGGAGAAAACATTTCTAAAATTAATGTTACAGCATATATGACTGGCTATATTGTTTTCCCAGGAGCACATTTTCAGAACTGAGTATTTTAAAACCACAAAGTGAGTACAAACATACCTTACAAATATGATTATTGCTTCATATAACAGCATGATTACACACTTAATAACTGAACTGATTATGATGCTACATTTTTCCTTAAAAGCATTGTGCACAGACAATATCTGGAATATCCAGTACTATAAATTGGTCCACGATTCCCTGAACATAGAAAAAAAAAGCAGTGCAAAGGCAAAGCTAAGAAAAAGTTTCTGAAGAAGCAGTATAGATAAGTCACACTTACATGACCTTCCTTCATTCCTGTACATAGGCCAAAGAAACACTTTAAAGTGCCTCTGGCGAATCAAATGCCACGTTCCAATCAATGTACTCTAAACTTAGGAATCTATGGGATGTTTATGTACCTCTCAACTTTGGGGAGGGAGGTAAACTTTTTAAAAAATATCAAACACATTGGAATGTAATATAAAATAGCAATGAATCTTGTCTGTTTTATGTATTTTGTCGGTACTATTGTATTTAAACGCAAAAATATTTTAAGGTGGAATTAATCACTTACTCCTTTCATCCTCTTGATTTTCTGAATTCTTAGCTTTTTCACCTGCACTCAAATTCAGACCTACAGCATTCTGCACTGGTTTTAAAAATATCCTATTTTAACATGTTAGCTTAAAAATAGCCTTGCTTTCACCGCTCCACATTACTTTAAAGCAGAAGTCTGCTTTTCATAGTAGAGCCAGATTCCCAGAAAAATACCTTCTTAATTACTTCATTCTTTCCACCTCTGGGGAAACAACAAAAACTGGAGTTTAACTTGTGCAGCGCCGAACCTACAGGGGCTTGCAAGTTATGTATCTGCTGTTGCTGGTTTGATCCATTCTTTCCATTTCCCAGGAAAATGTTTCCTTTGGCTGCTTAATTTAATACAACTACATGTGTGTGCAAACACACAGCTGAGAGCATCTCTGCCTTAGGAAGCAACACCCTTCTTTTGGACACCCATACATCTTGGTTTGATAACCTTTCAAGAAAGTTTCTTCCTGCATCTCGGGTTCGCGGCACTTTTCAAGCAGGCAAGGCATGCCACCTGCGTGGCCGCACGTTCACAAGAAAGCAGCAAGGGCTTAGGGGGACAGGAGGGTTGGGGAGGGGAGGCACACAACAAATCAAAGCACAATCAAAACAGTATCGGTTGACAATCTGGGCTGAAGCTCGGCTTCTAAGGCTGGGGAGGAACCAGCCAAGCGTCGGTCCGGGCTGCTGGCACGATCCGCGCCTGTCCTACCTGCCCTGGGGACACTCAGGAGGCGCGGAAGGTCCCCCCGCACACGCACACCAATCCCCGCCCCCGGGCCGGACGTCCCAGGCGCGAGGCCAGGCGGGCGAGGGGAGCCGGCGGCAGGGGTCCCGGGCCGAGGGGCGGGAGGGCTCCCGGGGCGCCGACGGGGGTGGGGACTCCGGGCCCCCAGGCTCGCCCCTCACGACCCCTTACCTTGGGCGATGGCAATGGACTCGAAGCGGTGCAGCTCCTTGAGCAGGCAGCTCCTCTCGGTGGAGTGCAGGCTGTAGATGAAGTCGCGCGCGCCCTGCGCCGTGTTCAGCGCCTCTATGGGCTCCTTCTTGGGGTGGGTGCCCAGCCCTCGGAAGCCGCCGGGGGCCGCGAGCGCCAGCAGCCCCCGCCCGCAGCAGCACCAGGACGGCGG